AAACGGGATTATTTATCTAAGAATCAGAGTCGCACTTGGGATAGTTTATGGTGTCTCAAGTCACCGGTTCAAATCCCAAATCGAGGAAAAATTTGACTCTGTATTACAGTCTACAAACTAGAAATCCGGGTAAGAAATTCTGTTAACCAGGGAGAAGGTGTTAGGAATTTCCGAGTTCCGTGGTTCTAGCACGGTCACTCAACTGTTATATTTGGCCTATTTATCTGATTTTAAAATATTTTTAAAACTATGTACATTTTAACTTTAAAACCGCTTTTAATTATTTTAAGGAAGATTTCAACGCCATCTAAAATACGTCTTTGGACCACGCCACATGAAATGCACCGCAATCCGAGGAATTTTATTTAACATTTTTAAGATTTAGATTTGGGCCACATGAAATGCTCACCCGAGTTTAGGAAGGTAATTTTTTAAAATAGCGTGCCTAAAGCAACTACGCATTTTCAAGTTTGCGAGAGCCATGGAAAATTCGACTAAAATGGGACGCCTCGATTTCTAAGGATTAAAATTAATTAAATGAAGGCCATGCATTTTGAGATTTCATTTGGTACAGCACACCTCAATTTTATTAAAGGAAAAAGCCTCCAACTAAGTGAACTATGGATATGCATATTCAAAAGTAATTTGAAATTAAATATCACAATCACAACACGAAAACCGTACCCGTGATTTAATTATGTACCTAAAGCTTGCTTACTATATTCATAAGTTGTTTGTTCTTTTTCTATGCTTGAGACCAATTGTATGTGTTTAAAAGTTACAAAATGGTTTACGTGTAAAGTTGGGAGGAACTTTGGTTAATATGAATAACATTGGTTTTACGAAATAACCATCACTCAGTGCAAACTCAACTTTGTATATCCTCTTTTAAAGTGCCAAAATCAATACTCATAAAATCAGTTCATACTATGTACACATCTGGCATTTGCCTATTTATCTACATCACAATTTTAATCACATACAATGCACCGAGATTTTTACACAATTAAGCAGTCATCACTTCAATCTAGACGAGCTCTTTGCACGAACCAAAACTACCTTCCACATAATTTCTATACATTAAGTCCTAACTATTCTGTTAATTCGCTTGTGACGATTGGGTTTTAAACGAACAAATCAAGCCAATTATTGTCCAAACTTGTGAAAACTATTTACAACTACCAAATTATTATCATTCTGACCTTGTAATAATGTTGATATCACTTTGTTATAAGAAATGAGCTAATTACACTCCTAAACTAAAGTTGGCAATTTATTATTAAGAAAGAAGATTAGTCTATAAATTGATTTGATAGGCAAATTCATACTACATCTACCATGAATACACAACTGAACCTCTCTTGACAGCCAAATCTGCAATTAATGAAGTACCCCAATACTTTAAACATAATGGACTATACCAATTTTACCTTTAACTTATGGTTATCACAATAGCTGTTCTCATACAAAAGTACATACAAACAAGAGCAATTATTTCAACCAGAATTAAAACTAAAACTCAGATGTTTGAAGAAGTATACTGCTGCAGTTCCTTGACAGTTTCATACTACCATACACTTAGCTAACATGGCTTAAACACATAGCTAACGATCAACATTTTACCAAGTTCCTTATCTCAGCAGTTCAAAACCAGCTATAACCACAAGAATTTCAGAAGCAAGTAAAATTATTGTAGGGTTATACTAACTCCAACAAATGCAAGTCGACTAATATCTCCCATGTTGAGCATACATCACATTAATTAACTCTAAAAAAAACTAAAATTAAACTACTTGATTTGAACGGGCAGAAACCAACATTTGGAACTCCATATTTCATTTCATTTCAATATCAGACTTCAGGTGATGTGAATCTAGGAACATATACCTGGAGAGTGAAATGAAAGAAAACAAAAGGAACTTAGCAACCCAGCAACAAACAGCAGAATTCAGCAACCAAAATCAGCCAAGGAACCAAATCCAAACCCAGGAATGGAGTTAAACAGCCCAGAAAACAATCCGAATGAATAACAACAAGCAAACTTCCAACCAATTCTTAAAAGAGAACCAAATTCAATCTATATTAACACTAAATGAATTAGAACTTGCTTTGGTAATTCAGAACTTCAAGATCACTGAAAAGTTTGATAAAACAGTAGAATTTCAGCTGTTTTGGTATTTTCTAGATTTTATCTCTAAAAAAAACTCTCTATCTCTTTTTTCTGGATGCCTTCTTAAACTCCTATATTCTCTCTGTTCTTTTTCTTTGGACTCTATATTCTATCCGTTTCTCCCCTCTGTTCTCTATTCTTCTTAGCTTAAATAGGCAGTAGAAAATGCCTCTTTGATTCAAAATTGCCCCTTCAACAATTTTTATTTGATTCCACCCAATTCAAGTTCTTTTCTTTATTCAGTAGTGTATTCTTAACACTACCATTATAGAAACTTCCTAATTAGTTGGGTAAATAATTCAATCTATACAATCCCTAGACTACCCTTAAACCCCATGTTATTAATACCTCCTAAAATTCTGAATGCTTATAGACAGAAAACAAACGAGCTAATACAAATGCACTTCGAAATTAAGAAAGCAACTAACAACTGAATCATATTAATTCATTGAAGAACTAATATGCTATAAGAACTCTAAATGGAACTTTCAGACATGCTAGAAAACTAACGACTTCCAAAACATATTCGAATAAACCTCGACCAATTCAATTGAGAGCCTTGAATTAAACCTAGACCTTTCTTATATGGTTATAAATCCAGAAAATGCTATTGAAACAAAATTAATGCAGATGAAGAAAACGGACTTGTGAACGGAAGGATAACTTAGAAGAATGCTGAAGAAAGAAAACAAGAAGAATAAAAGGTGAAACAAATTCAAAAAAAATGAACAGAAAAAATGGAAGGGAACTCACCAAATAGGCTTGAATTCAATGTTGGCATTTTGAGCTAGCTCAAAATAATGCCAATCGCTTGTTCTCGGACAAGAACAAGTGAACGTCATTATTTTGTGCTAAAACAGCCTTGAATAACTAAGGAATTCGGAGGATTAGTCTTGCATGTACAGGTCCGGTTTTAGGCTTTTAGGGCTTGAACTCAAATTCCAGATTCGATGAGTTTCGGACATATTCGAGGGATCCTCGTTGTGGATTTGGTATGAGGAAGACCTGGGATTAATTGGTGTTGATTTGGGATCGATTGGAGTGGTGTATGGTGCCGGGGATTTTGGGATCGGACTACTTCGATTGAAGATTCGAGAAGTCCTAGGGTGATTCGAGGGAAACTAGCTACAAATTGGGAAGAGGGGATGGGAAGGGTCTTGGGGTGTTATTTTCAGGCGGGTAGGGGTGGTGTAAGGCTGCGCCGCCACCGGAAACAATGGAGATTTCAGGGGCGGCGTCTCTAGGGTTTGGGGATTGAGAGAGACGAGAGTGAAGTGGGGGAGGGGTATGAGGGGTTTTGAATATATTGAAATGGGGTGGTTAATTTGAGCCGTTGGATGATTTAAATCCAATGGATGTGATTAATCCTAGCATGAAATGGGGTCGTTTCAGTTAACATGTGTTGGGTATGGGAAACGGANTTGAAATCCAACAGTTGTGATTAATTCTAGCATGAAAAGGGGGCGTTTCGGTTAACCTGTGTCGGGTATGGGAAGACGGGTCGGATTAGGTTAAACGGGCGGTGGGGCGAAGTCTTGGCCGTTGGATATGGGTGAATGAACGGTTAAAATCTGTTGATCTCGAAACGACGTAGTATTCTCCCTATACTACGTCGTTTCCATAGTCTTAGGGGCTGAAGGTTTGGACCGTACGGGGCATGTGTTTTTTTTTTAGGCTGGTTTTGGGCAAAATTGATTGGGCTTTGGGGGAATTTTAATTGAATTAGCCCAAAACTTCAATCCCTTTCATTCTTCTACCTTTTCTTTTTTATTTCAAAAGTATTTTCTTCTCAAAATTAAAAATAAAACCTTAATTAATCCTTAAACTAAATTATCTTACCAAATTATCTTAACTATCTCTAAATAATAATTATCATAACTACTAAATGAATAATAAAAAATGCAAAATGACTATTTTGTATGATGATTTTTTTTCGAATTAATTAATACTAAAAGTATAAAATTAAATCCCAAATGCAGATGCAATATATATATATTTTTGTATTTTTCAATGCATTAACAAAATTAAATACGCACACAAAAATATGCAAATAGTCAGAAAAATTCTACGATAATTCCTAAAATAACAAATAATTAAAGAAAAGATCTAACTTTGGGAATTCTTTTGGAGTAATTCATGTGAAGGAAAAAATCACGTGCTCACAAGTGTCTCTATCGAACTTTGATCTTAAAGGTTTCAATGAAAATATATGACCGTTTTAACATATATATACTTATATATTCAAAACTTTTGCAGAAGTTAACGGGGTCCGATGACCCCTCTTTTTCAAGTATATGTCTGCCTCTGCTCACAGAGGATAGTTATAGATATCACTAATTATAATTCTTATTCACTATAGATTCGAGCTTGAGTTAAGGGCGGATCTACAATGTAATATGTTAGGCTCACGTGAATTCAATAGCATTTACACAGAATAATTGACTATTGCTTGTCTATAATCGGCAGTTTTTTCCTTATTTTTTGTACCAAAGAATTATAGTAGAATGCCAAAAGCATCCATAGTACTAGGTCAACTTTCCATGAAATCCAAAAGACTGCATTTATATTTGTATATAGATTATATAGAAATGAATTTTGAGGCAATGAGTGGTTTTCGATCATTCATTCTCTTGTTTCCCTAAATATTCTAATCTTCTACTCTATTTCCAGCAGATAATCCAACTTTGAACATGCATTAATGTTGTCATAATACACATAGTTGACTATTTTCTGCTGTGTGTATATAAAGGAATATCTTTCATCTTCAAACATCTTGTCCTTTCCATAGCATTCTTACCTGAACTTAAGTCTGTGCACCAAATTCTAAGACATGGCTAGCTATGTCTGGTGGTGGAGCTGGTGGTTCACGGTGGCGTTTATCGGTTGTTTATCGATCCAGAAGCCGGTTTTTTCCGAGCCACAAACCAACCTGTTAGGCAAAGGATGTAGTCAATACAATGCAACAGATTTACCTGATTTTTTCAGAAGACTTAATGCAAGTTTTGATGATTTAAGAAACCAGTTGTCTAATCAAGACAAGCGATTCGCCACGACACAACAGGCTGTTTATACTATGGTTGAATGCAGAAACTATTTGTCAAAAGCTGATTGTGTTTCCTGTTATGATGCTGCTGTTACTCTCATCAGAACTTGCTCTGATGCTAATGGTGCTGGTGTTACCTATGATGGTTGTTTCCTCAGGTGAGTTACGCCTCGAAACTAGTTGGAGTTGTAAGATTTTCCTATTATGTATATGACCCAATATAATAAAGCCCATGCATAACTAATATTTAATGAAAGATAAATCTCGTCCGTCTGATCGGTTACATGATGGACGTACCGAATTAAACGAGAACCTTTATAAATTGGTCCTCCCTCTACACATTAGGGTTACCCCTAACAGTTTTTAGACTATTCCATCATTGATGGTTGTGGTGCGTAAGTCTAGGGCAAGGAGGTAGAAACCAGTTTTAAGCTAACGCTTCCGCATATATAATGTTTTTCGCTTCAGATACGCGCTCTATACGTATTTTTATATGAGATTATTATGTTCAAAATCCTGGTGTTATTATTAGGTTGGTGTTTGACCCTATTAGCGTTTAGCTCTATGCATTAATTAAAATTAACAGTTTTACTGGTTTCATTATGTTTAACTTGAGACAAGAATTGTTCAATTATGTTTGCCTTATAATCATTTTTTAGGCTAACAGTCTCTATTATTTAATACTATTATGAGAATAAATAATAGTATTATTTAATAATTGAAAGTGGAATTATGCAATGAGTAGTGTACCTGTTTAAAGCTATATAGTTTGTTAGCCACCAAAATGGCCAAACTAGAATGTATAAAAATAATTTTAACATGGTTAAAATAATATATGTATGTATTTATATTATATTGTTTGTTAGTCATCAAAGTGGCCAAACTAGTATGCTTATGATTTGTACATACATAAAACTACTTAGTGTTTATTCTATATATGTAATTATGCTTATATATAGGTTTTTAGCCACCAAAGTGATCGAACTTGAATGATTAAAATATATACATATATAGAATGCCAATACATGGATGTTATGCATGTATTAATGTTTTATGGTTTGTTAATCACCAAAGTGGCCAAGCTAGAAAGTTGAAATTACACGCATGCATAAAGTGACGTAACGTCTATATCATGCATGTATTTATGTTCATCTAGTTTGTTAGTCGCCAAAGTGACCAAACTAATATGTTTATGAAAGTTACACATGCATAAAATTTATCACTTATCCATGGTTCTAATTAATGAGATGCCTTATGAATAAATTGACGTTCACTATTGTTTGACCTTACAAATTTTCTAAGGATATACTAATTATTTATAGTTAGTGAACATGATGAGGCAAATATTCTTTGATCATATTTATATGGTTATCTAAAGATATCTAGTATGATTGATCAAGATTATTTAATTGCCTATTGAAGATAAAAGGCATATAAATAATGTAATATGTCATAATATCTCCTCAAAAGAGGGCTATGGTATATTCTAATGATTGGTTTGTCCGAATCGATAACGTAATTAACTATGTATTGATTGCAGCAAGATTAAAGCTATTAATGATGGCTCTGGATTTAATTTGTGCTTGCATATGAATATTTCAATTTATAAAAGAATTCTATTTCTTGACATTCTTATAAACGATTTGATACAAATTGAAACTTGACGATGTATTTTTTGAATGCCTTTCATCAGAAACTTGGAATTATGTGTAGTTCATTAAAGTCTTATTTATTTGTGGCACACACATTTGGATTATATGTCTCACGCAAGGTTAGAAAAGATTAGTAATATATGAAATTCTTTTAAATCTATATTTTACTTATCTCAATGTATGTTAAGATTGCATCAAGTAAAATCAAACCAAATAGAAATAAGAAAGTCGCCACAAGACGTATTCCACCTCTTGGAAATTATGCATATCCATATAAGAATTCCCTCGTATTTTGGTTGAAGTCCATTTGTAAATTTTCTTGAGAAACATGGGATATATGTATAATATACTATGCCATGGAAGCTTTAATAGAATGGTGTTGCAGAAAGGCATAATCAGACACTTGTGGAGATGATTAGGAGTATGATTAGTAATTCCTTATTACCTTATTCTTTGTGGATTCACTACTAGAAATTCGGGCAAACTTTTCCAAAACAACTGACCAAAGTTGGTCGGTAATGACCAATAACTGTCCAAAACGCGACCATTTACGTGTGAATGGTATTTTGAAGGTCGGAAGAGCATACCGATTAAAGTTGGTCGGAAATTATCGACCAACTTTTGTCGGTCAATTAAATTCAAAATAAAATATTGTCGAACAAACCGACCAAAGTTGGTCAGTATTTTAATTATGTAAATAAAAAATACACCATCGGGGAATCGAATCGGGGTCCGTACTGTGGCAGGATACTATTCTACCACTAGACTCTTGGTACATTTTGTTTTAAAACTGTCTTTTATTTCATTTGTACTCTTTAATTGTATTTTCGCACGAAAATAACCGACCAAAGTTGGTCGATTTTATTAAAAAAATAAATTTACTGACCAAAGTTGGTTGTTTTTTTAAAATGACCAGCCGAATTAATCGACTAATTTTGGTCGGTTTTTTAAATATTAATTTTAATTTATTTAAATGAAAAACCGACCAAAGTTTGTTGGTTTCTTGAAAAATAAATTTAGAAGACTCAAAAATAGTTTTCCGCATTTTTGCGCCAAAAACAAACCGACCAAAGTTGGTCGGTTTCGTAAAAAGAATTTTAAAAATAAAATATTTTGAAAAACCAATAAACTTTGGTAGGTTTTTTGGCCAGTTTTTTTATCGACCAAAGTTGGTCGGTTGACCTTGGTCGGTTTTGCCGAATTTTTAATAGTGATTTATTCTCTTAAAACCATTGTATATTATTAAATAGGATTCCTAATAAGGTAGTTCCAAGGATCATTTTGAGCTGTGGAACGGAAAAAAACCTAGTTAGAAGCACCTATATATTTGGGGCTATACAATGGAAGCGAGATTTTATAATCCACATAAAAAAAACATTTTAGATTTTCAAACAGCAAGTAGTTACCTTATTGGTTATCTGGAGAAATTTAAAGGGTATAGGTTTTACTGTTCAAATCATAGTTTGAGAATTGTTAAAACGGATAATGCAAGATTTATTAGGGATGGTGAAGTTAGTGGGAGTGTTGAAAAATAAAGTGTAAAAATAAAAGAGGCGAGGGTCAATGTTCCATTACCCACGAATGTACCTACTTCCACACAAATACCAAATATTGTTCGAGTTGTTGAAGAATACTTCGACAATACCGAGTAGCATTTGAATGAAACACTTCATGAAGAAACTAACTTACACATATCTGACACAAATGAACCCCAAAAACTGTCATTAAGAAAATCGACTATTTCAGTTGATTATATGGCTTTATTTACTAGTATTAAATGTTGGCATTTGACTTAATAAAGATCCTGTCTCATTTTCATAAGTCATAGAAAATAATGAGTGTGACAAATAGATTGATTCCATTAAGAAAGAATTAAAATTTATGGAATATAACAAAGTCTGGGATCTCGTCGAATTGCCAGAAAGTTCTAAAATAATCGGGTGTAGATGCGTCTTTAAGATCAAACGCGATTCAAATGGCAATATTGAATGATATAAAGGTAGACTTGTTGCCAAGGGTTATACTCAGAAAGGAGGCATTGATTATAAAGAGACTTTTTCACCGGTCTCAAAGAAAGACTCGTTAAGAATTATTATGGCTTGGTGGCTCACTATGATTTAGAGTTACACCAAATTGATGTGATAATTGTCTTTCTTAATGGAGACCTCGAGGAAAACGTTTATATGGACCAACCAGAGTGTCACGACCCAATTCTAAATTAGGTCGTGATGGCGCCTAACACCGCCGCTACGCAAGCCAACTGTGAACTAGCAACGTGATTTCCTCTTTTTAAATAAATTTTTCCAAGTGATTAAACTTTACTTAAATTTAAAAGATTTAAGAGATAACAGATTTAAAATAAATAAAACGAAAGTAACTGAGTGCAATCATAATCATGAAAATAAAAACCAAAACCACGAGTCTACTAGTGTGTGTGCCAAGACCTGATGTCACAAGAGTATGGGCTACTAGTAGAATATACAAAAAATTACTACTCTACTGTCTGAAATAAAATAGATAGAACAATAACAACAGAAAGACTTCGGTTGCTGCAGAATGACTCCGAAGGGAAGCTCACTGTATAGTCTCGTACCAAGAGTCAAGCGTGTGTGCCGGACTGATACCAGATGCACCTGCCTCATATCCTGCACAATTAAGTGCAGAAGTGTAGCGTGAGTACATAAACATTATTTACCCAGTAAGTATCCAGTCTAACCTCGAATAAGTAGTGACGAGGGGTCGACTTTGACACTTACTATGGGCTAACAATAATATGTCAAAGTTATAACTAAGCATGGATTTCATGAATAATACTAAAAACTCAATAACAGGAAATAGCCAATACTCCTTTCACAAGTATTAAGTCCCAAATTTATTTTCATCATTTAACAATTTATATTTCAATACATTGAAGCAATATCAATTATGAATAGTTCCAAAGGTTTATCATGTACAAATTATGTCGAGGTCGTATGACCCGATCCAACATAAGAATATTTAAACTGTGCACTGCCGAGGATTGAACGACACGAACCATAGATGCATCTATCTGCTACCGAGGCGTTCGGCCGCTCCACAAATAGAAAATACTTCAAAGAAATACAAATTCTTAATAATAGTCAAGTGTCTCATTTAAACCAAGTGAAATTTAACCTTTTACAATTCTTTTATCAAATTTCAATATTGACTTAATTAAGTTATCAAGTAGAGGCGAACATTGCAAGTATAACATGAAAACATAATTAGTAGCTGCGTACGGACTTTCGTCACCTCGTACATCTGTAGCACTCACAAATAGAAAAACATATTAATTAATTCACCTATGGGGTTAATTTCCTCTCACAAGGTTAGAAAAGAGACTTACCTCGTTTCAAAGCCTACTTCCGGTTCAAGATTGTGCTCAAACCCTCAATTCGGTGCCAAACGACTCGAAACTAGTCAAATATTATATAAAATCATCAATACATGTTCAAAAGTTCGTATTATAACTATTAAAGTGATTTCCC